GTAGTCACTTGATTGATTAAAGATTTAAACCAAGTATGAGGATTGTGGTAATATCATTAATTTGAGAATTTATGCCTAGAGGGCACTCTGTTTATTGGGTTATGGATTGTGGAGGTTCGCTCCGGTTATGAGGGTTGTTCTTATGTGTTATGAGAAAAGGGGAGTTATTATGGACCTTTGAAAGGTTATTAGCCTAGTTGGTGCAATCAAAAATTGGCTTGAGATCAGTGGATTGATTTAAATGTGAACAGGGGCTTTATATCAGGCCAGAAGTGTTCATCTCAGCAATACGCTCCTTATGGAAGGGAGTCGGGGTGTTATTTTGTTGTCAGCTATTTCATGTAATGATGTATTGCGTCGTGCAACTTGTGAGACGGCTTGGTGAATTTTTTATGTGTGGAGGTTCCACATAGAGATGAGGTTATATGAGCAGGATGGCTCTTGAGATTCAGATCATATATCGCACTTCAGTTGTGCTCGAGTTTGTGGATTATAGCGTTATATGTCTCCCCAGGGAATGGTATTATACACTTAGCGTGTTTATGACTGATATTCAGTATTTTGTTGTAATGAGCAATTTAGCTCGATGTACATCTCCTTATGTGAGTTCCATGTGTGGATCGGGTGGCACGCCGCCATGGGTATGTTATTTGGATCGGGTGGCACGCCGCCATGGTTATGTTGTGTGGATCGGGTGGCACGCTGCCATGGTTATGATTGCTCGGATCGGGTAGCGCACCGCAATAGTGTGATGTTCAGTACAGTCCCCCATATCTGTCTATTGTGTTCTGTTTCATATTTTCTGAAGGAAGCTCATATTAGCTGTGCTCCCGCGTCGCATGTATGATTCGCGAGTGGGGTAATTGAAATTCCTTTTCAGAGTTCATTTTCCTTTTTGTATCTCATTCTAATTGGTAGCCTATTGGCACATTGTGGCGTCATATGAGACTTTTGGTCATGTCAGGGTGGCTTATTGCCTGAGCAGTTCATACTGGGTAAGACGAGATTGTTGGATTTAGGATCAGTGCAATCTGATTACATGAAATATATTAAGGAGCAAAGATCATTATTTGGTTCGGAATGAGGTAATGTTTCTTGTCAGAAGTATAGACTCAGTGATTGGTTGACTCGGCAGTTGATTATGAATTTCTGCACATCTCTTCCGTTGTGGCAGCATTGTAAGAGTTAGAGTAAGACCTGTGTATGTCATGGGGTGCAATGGGAGCATCATATTCGTGGAATTTTGACTAAGTTGATCAGAAAATGTTATTGTGGTCCGCTGAGTAAAGTGATGCTAGGTATGAATTCGGCAAAGTTATGCAGCCATGTTTGGGTACAGCGTGTGGTGATTGATATGGTGATCTTATGTTGGAAACAGGTCGGGCATAGAATTTCGAATGTTGGAATTGGGCTCTAAGGCTTATTTGCTTTAATAAAAGGGAATATTTTCAGAATTGATCGAGCTGATGTGCTCAACTGAGTTGTG